TTTACATCGGGGAACGATGCTCAAACGCATTGGAAATTTGGACCCATTTATACTCTCTTCAAAACTGTGTCATATTTTGATATCCTGTCTKTCATATATATGTGCATTTTATTTGATATTCAGTCACTCTTATCTCCTATGGTGACCATAATCCTTAGCGTTAAAACAATAGACTGTTTTGATGTGATGTCATTAGAAACAGGGAAATTCAAAACAGCCAATAAGAGCTAAGAAGACAAAATCCGATTCACGGAACATGATATTCTTCGCTGATAGACCTCTGCAGCTTTTACGTCATGCACCGTATACGCAATGCATTGTAGGATATGTTTGGGACAGAACATGGCGGATTTCTTTTGTTTTCTCTTGAAACTGATCCCACAATGCATTGAAAATCAAGTAGTGATGTAAAAGGTTCAGAAGTATATTCACAGACGAACATAACAAAAGATTTGATTGCGCTGCACGCCGGWTCTTATCTGAGTAGATATGGGCAATTTGTACTGCGCGTTTTGTCGAGATTCTCGCTCCCAGAATTGTTTTGCTACAAGCTACAAGCTTTGTCTAAAAAAAGGGATGCGTGCTTTGGATGAAACTAAATATCCATACGAGTAAAGAAAAGGATAATCATTTCGATCGCTTCATTGATCTTTTTGATATTCTATTTTATTTTTATCCTGACACAAAATGTGAAGCCGATTTGGCTTAATATTGGCTAGAAATGGATTTCATAAAAGACAATCGAGACATTACAGAAGCGATTTTTAAAAATCCAACTCCAAATCATTTTATGGGGACTTCTATACAACAGTAACGTCACAGTAATGTCATTTCTAGGAGTTTAAATAACTATTTGACTATAGTTGCGAAGGATTGCAAATCATCGCTCAATGATCCGTCCCGTCTTGACAGTGAACTCCTTTGTTATGAAAATATACATGGAAGTCTTGAATGAACGATAATTTTTTTTCACAAGTTTTTCTGCTTGTTTTTTGTTTGTTTGTTTGATTGATTGTTCTCAACAATATGAACATTGAACTGGCTTCATTTCCTTTGGAAGCACACATACACACACACCAAAAAAAAATATATATATATAAAGGATACCACATAGGCTCGTGGAGATATGGATTTTATCTTTGAGTGTTCCAATGATATAGCAATGGAGCACGGGAACATAAAATTTGTGTCCCTAAGCGCGCGACTATGTAATGCTCTGTTTACTATATAAACTCAAATTTATATCTATTTTAAAGACAAGAATAGACCAGTAGTACGGAGTATCCACAGTAACGTGTTATTTCCATTTTATAGTTATGAATTTTTCGCGCTAGAGATTTCCTGGTATTTTTTCACTGTAGATACATAAATACGGACTTTATCTTCTTGTGTCGAAGTGATTTTCAACGCGAGAAGATAAAATTCGTA